AGTTTAGCCCATATACCTAGATGAAATTATTGGATAATTTTTGGGCTTTTAATGGACTGATATTGTGTTAACCTAAATAGATTAGGGTTTTACAAGCCTTTAATTGATTTGATCAATTTATGTTTTTGTGCTTGTGATGTGCTAAATGGATGTGATTCGTTCATRGGCCATAAGTGCTTGGCCCATGTTTAGATTTGTGTGACACTCTGCGAACATCATGGCTGAATGCACATCATTGCCATGATGCCCTAAGATCATTGCATGATCTCCCTCTTCGATGGGCCCCTAATCAACTTCCTCCCCAAGAGGAACCCCGCGGGAACCCTAGCCCTTTTGGGCCCATTCGAATTTGACTTTATGAAAGTCAGTGGGAGCCATTTTGGTATAAACTAAATCAGACCTAGGGATTGTTTTATTTGTCCCCTCCGGTTTAATATAAATGCAAAGAGATCGGGAATGCCATATGATGAATTCTCTAAAGGCTTCCCATCAAATACTAACTTAAGCTTCTKGGGGAGAGACAAAATGATACATCATGGATATTGAAAAATTATATTGATAATTGCAAAAATGCCATTGACATTCCTCCATACGAATTACTTGTATAGCCCCACCCAAGACATAGACAATGACACTCTGTTGGCAAGCTGTAGGCACAATGGATGGCACTTGATGGCGTGGTAAAGAGTCCACTTGTGACACTAAGCCATTCTCAAGTGTTGTCCTTCCCACCCTAAATGTAACTCCAAGGAATTTCCCAAATTCATCCCAAATTCCACCCTTTTTTATCAATGCAACTAGGGTTATGATCATTAAGTTCTTCCCTGATATCCACAATAGGCCTGCGGTCGTAGGTCTTCTAGATTCAGGATTAGAGTTCCTTTTGCCCAGACTAGTATCTCATCAAAACTTTTCATCATTGACGACTCCGCACAAACACTAAATTATTATCATCTGTTTGTAAGCTCACAGCACTTCCAACCATCAAAGTAACTATGGCTGCATCGTAACTACTTAACTTCTGAATCTTAACCACTACATCTTCACAAAAGACCACTTGCAAGTGATGTCTTGCTTGAAAATTCCTTCACACAAGCCCATAACTTTAAGATTGTGCAGTAAACATTTGTTGGGCCTTAAATCTCTTGAGCCCAAATCAAATATGAGACTTCCCTATGGAGGTGCAAATCGGGCCATGTCGGGCCAACACAACATGGTTTTATGGGCCGCCCATCCTTTAGTGGGTCGTGCTGTATTGGTCCACAGGCCTTCGTGGGTTGTGGTTGCCTCTTCTAGGATCCTTCATAGGTCAGGCCTGGCATGACCAATGACAGGAGCCTAGATGGGCTTGGGCCGGGAAGGCCATAGGCTGGCTCATGGGCATGGGTTGAGTTAAGTTGTGGGCCTGGGTCAATCTAGGCCAGCCTTTTTTTGGCATTTCTATTACTTTTTCTTTTTCATTTTTTTCTAAGTGATACAAATTTTGAGAAAAATAAAAATTTAACAATACATACTTAACAAAATACAGAGTAGACAACAAATTGAAAAGAAAAATTTAGAAATTTATTTCACTTGAATTTAAACAATACAATAGAATATCGGAAATGGAATAAAATATAAAAATAATATAATATAATTAAAAATAAAAAATCACACTGGTATTGAAAAAACTAATAATTTAAGTAAAATTGGAAAGCAAAATTTACAATAACTTTAAAAATGCTATACAATTATTGAGTATACAAGAAAATTATTGACTTCACTATTTTCTTTAAGTAACACCTTTATCTCCTTGACCTTGGTCATCATCTACTTATGGTGAAGCATCATGTGAAGTGCTATGCCCTCCTTTATCTTGTAGTCTAATTTTTTTTATAAATAAATTAAATAAAACAAAACAAAGAGAAAGGAGAAATACAATGTAGACTGAAGAAAAAAATTGCTCATGAAGAAAAAAACCAACATCAGGAAAAATTTCTTGTGCTCTCCCTAGGGTTAACACTCCAACCTACACACCCTATAGCGACTGACATTCTAGCTCGAAACCCGACGTCTACCACCCATGCCTTTGCCTCTAATCGCCTTACCCTTCCCCAAATCTTCTTTAATTGATGCATCGACGTAATAATGTACCAAACTTCTCAGCTTTCTTCTTCAGGCCACCGAACATGAACACTATGTCATCCTCTTCGAGCGAAGCATTGCTCTCCCAATCATCCTTTTTAACACTCCCTTCCTTTTCCCTTTCCCTATCTTTCCTCGACGCCAATTCAAAACTTCACAATGCTTCTCTTACCTGGGCTTCACCACCAAAAAAGAATAGCCCACAAGTCATTGCCACTTGGATTTATCACTCAACTAGATTATCCACAAWWYTTATGGCCTTTGGTTCTCTATCAAAAAAATTCACCCACCTCTGCCCCCTTGTCTCTCCGTCTGGAACCAGAGTGGCCGCCTCTTCTTCTACTTTTCTCCTACCCTATGACGTCGCTACTATAACATCTAGCTCCCCACTCTCTAGCATGGGAATAGAGCTTGAGCTATTTTCTCCCCCCTTGGCCAGCTCCACTGCATACAAAACCCTCCTATTTGATTTCTTTTTGCACAAAATTTTCAAACCAGCCTTCTTTTTCACCCCTTTAGCTAGTAACAAGTTCTGCCCCAAATTAGTTGTTGAATTTTGGTATCAACATACTAGTTCTGCCCCTACTCTCATAATTCGAGAATGCATTAGAAATGACCAAGCCACCATGAACTGGGTTTCGCGTCTCAATTAACTCCCATGATGGCAAACCTAGAACACCTACAATCTCGGCAACCGGATACGCAATTTCCTTAGATGTTGCAATAGAGGAATTCAAAAAATTCAAAGACTCTAGCATGAGCCCTACTTGCCGATCATCATTCACAATGTCTAAGGGCACCAACTAATTGATTTGTTCCACCATCAAATGACCCCCTTCCCCAATGTCGGTGCCAAGGATGATTCCAATAATTAGATCTTCTTCTCGGATGCCCCCCTTCCCTTTCCTCTAGAGCCACCTATGAAATAGAGAAAGGTAAACGGTTGCTCTTAAGACATCCTCCTGGGCCATTGCCTAGGGCTTCATTTGATACCAAGGCCTTACCTACCACCACCCTTTTATTGTTGCAAACACCAGAACCGAAGACGGATGCAAGGCCTTCTACCACCACTCTAATGATGAAGACATCCCCTACAACTTCTACCATACGCAATTTCGGAAAATCATAGGAAGTATGCACCCAAAGCACAAGACTAACAAAGTCGAGCTTCTGCCATCTCAGACTCCCCAGATCTACCTCTACAAAGCCTCTGAGTGCATCTCACATGCAAAGGCAACCCAAAACACCTGATCAACCATTTCCTTGATTGTTTCAACAAGAAACCTCTATCCATTCTCGAACTCCATTTCATATGCAAACATAAAAAGGAATTGGCTGCTAGCCAATGCCCTTACCGCAACATCACTTTCATCCTTCCACACCTTGGAAACACAACTGCTATCCTCTGAGGCATTGGGTTGAGAGCCTTCAAATTCACCTACTAGATAGGTATGAAGCAAACTTTCTCTCTCCCTCCCACATTTCCCTCCCACTCTCACTTGGAAATCTACTTTTGAGAACTTGGTCATTGCCTCCCCATCCTTTAAGAAACCAAACAATAACATGGTCAGAAAGGTGTTGGATCCTACCACCAAAAGTCTGGTAAAGTTATTAGCAAGAATTAGATAATTTTCATCATCTATCCAATCTTTCAAGCATACATACATCTCCAAATTTTCATCATTCATGCAGATTCTCTTATCCAACACCCTAATACCAACACTAAAACAAGACTTTATGGAATTGTAGACATTGGAGGGGATAGGAGGTCATGTGCCATGGCGGCAAGAAACATTAACTTCTAAATTAAAATTATGTTAAACAAATGAACTTGATGATAAAGTGGTAATAGATTTTGACATTTTACTCATTAAGTAAAACATCTAAACCATGTTTCCTAATCCTAGGATCTAATATTGTAGCTCAACAATATAGAGGAGAAATATTTTCCCAATATTTATTAAAATTAATTTCCATTATTTCAATAATACTTTTAAAATTGAAATTAATTCTATATTTTGCAAAATATTCATTAATCATAAATAAATGATTAACTAAAATATAAGAAATTGGGTAATAAACACCGAGAAATTCATTAGTTCTATCATAAAAAAAATTGTAAAAAGTCTTTTATACAAACTTTCATTTCCTAGTCACCACCAATTATAAAAACATGTGGCATTTTTTCATTTTAAAAATTAGTAAGAGTATCTTTGTATGAAATACAACTTTCCAACATAGTCTAGGTGGAATGATTTACCATTTAAACACACACACACACACACATATATATATATAATAAAATTTCTAATTTTAGAAATATGATGAGAAACAATATTTAAAGCATCTTGAACACATAAATTTAAGATGTGACATGCACATCTAATATGAAACAATTTACCATTTAAACATGGTTTTAACTGAGATTTAAAATACTTATTGTTGAATTATTTTTAGTAGCATTATCAAAACTAGTAGAAAAAACTTTATATATTTAACTCCACAAGTATGTAAAGTATTTAAAATACTTGTAGCAATTGTAGGGCCAATATGTGTCTTTTCAAGTCTAATAAAACTTAATTTTTTTTTTGTAARAGTCAATTTTCATCAATAAAATGTCTAATAATACAAATATAACTTATATTATCTTTAGAAATCCAAATATTAGAAGTGCTATTTTGAATTGGATTTGGTAGAAACGGAGTTTTTAGCTAAGGTGGCAGGGGAGGGCGGCTTCGCCTAAACCAATCTGACTGAAACTGCCTTGGTGGGTAAGTTTAAATCAATAGAGGGAAAAGCATTGGTTCCGAACCAGTCCATTTAGGCCCGTTTAAAGGCGGTCACAGCACCTAGAAGATCAAAGCCTCATTTGACTTTGGTAAGAAACTTGAGGAGCTTAATTTTAGCAAAGGGTGTGGCGAAGGAAGCAGGTTTAAAGGTGTTGTGCAAGAGAGACGCCGAGAGAAGGATATAGTACGCGGTGGAGTTGGCTAAGGGAGGGGAATCGAGTCAGAGATCCATACCACTGTTAGAGAATGGAGAGTTGGAGGCTTTAGTAGAAGTTTCTCGAACAAGTCTTCGCCAGATGAGCCTTCTGTACCTGAGTTGAGAAGTGCATCCTCACCTGAGAGTTCTAGCACTCAAGAAAGGGGAGAGGAAGAAGAGGGGCAATGGACAATCTCAATAGCCATGAAAGAGTGTGTAGATCGAAGTGTAAAGATCACCCAAGCATGCGGTCTTTTTTTTCTGGGAGGAGAAAGTCGGGTGAGGAAAGCTTTGAGAAACGACGAATAAAAATCTCAGAAGGAGAGGGAGATAGAGAGAGAAGAAGAATCTCGGGGAAGAAGAAGACTAGGAAAGCAATCTCTCTCATTCCTACTTTGTCCTTTTTGGTTTGTTTCTCTTTTCTTATATCCCTCTCGTCTCTTTTAATAATTTTTTTTCTGCTTAACTATCAAAAATAAAATAAAATATATGCCTTTCTTAACAAAATCTCACATTGAATGCAAATTTACATTTTTACTTATAAAAAACGATAAATTACAAAAACCCCTTGTACTATGGGGTCAGTGACAAGATCCGGGTACTTTTTTTCGCGACAAACACCCCTTGAACTTAACTTCGAAAAAGATTCTCATCTGGTTGTTTTAAAATTTCTAAATGCCCAAACTACCCTTTTCTTTAATTTTTGAAATGAACAGACAAGCCCAATTCAGTGTTTTGAGATATCAAATCTGTTCATTCTTGTTCCTTTATCGCATCCTCAAGTTCCACGAGGAACATCCTCTTCCAACAAGGAACCATGGAACCTACTCTGTCACAGGTTTTGGGCCATTTAATGTTCTTCCTCATCACAAGTTCAAGAAACTGGTGGTGTTACAGATAAAGCTTATTCTCAAAATCTGAATCATTTAGGGGGTATTGAGGATAGAAAGCAGATTGTCTCTGTTGAAAAGTAAGTAGTAATTTTGTAATTTTTTTTTTTATATTTTGTCTTTTGTATTAAATGGGTTGTCTTCAAACTTAAGAATTGAAAGGTATAAACTGTAAAAATAATACTCCTTTATATATCTTATAATCTGAAACATTTTTGTAAGAGAGCTCAAGAAACTATGAATTGAACAAAATAAAACCCCAAACCTTCATATTATATTCCTCTCTTCTTCTCTTCATTCTATATCCTATTTTCTCTTCTCACACCACACTTCCATTGTTCCAACAAACTTTCATATTTTATTCTTATTAATAATATTTCACAATATTAATTTATTTATAATTTTAATACATAATCATGTTTTCTAATATATTTTTTATTTATAATATTTTAAATATTAATGTATTTATAATTTTTAATTAGAATTTATTTATAACTGACTCGAGTTCAAATATGAAACTAAAAACTCAATTGAATTAAAACTCGACTCGACTTAGCTCGATTAAATAATCCAAAAAAAAATCAATTTCAACACTTAAAATTGGTTTTATTAAGTCCAAAGACTAATTAAACGTCATTGAACAAAACTCAGTGTAGTAATACCAACAATAGGAACATACAACTAGAAGCCTAAGCAAGAACAACAAAGGATTAAGAACGGACAAACAGAAACAAATTAAAGGTATTTATATATGCTGCATTTGGCATTCACTTAATTATTTACTTCTTAACAGTAAAAAGATAATAAGCCCTTAAAACCTTAACTTGTGCTATTTGAGAGGGCAAGGTCATAATTAAGAGGGCAATCCGGCACAAAAGGAAGTGTAACACTCTTTGCTTTCTCCACTTGCTTACAGGATGCACCTCGTAGTGATCATATATTAAATTGGCGAGCAGGGCAGAGGGGGTGGCAATGAGGGAATTAAGCTTATATTTGATTAGATGATTTACGAGACCGGCCGATTTGGATGGTTTTTTGTGTTGATTGAGTTGCATTGACTGAAACGTGCCGATTTGTACTTTATTTATTATGGATCGATCTTAACACAAAGCTCACGCACAGGCTAACCTACCCGACTTTAGTTGGACTCTTATTTCACATCAAATTAGCCGAACTAGACCTTGAAGACAAGACCCGTGCTTCCTGTCTATTGAACTTCAACCTCATACCTTCCTCTCTGGAAATCTGGTATGAGTTGGTGAGCACCTCTTCAGGCATGGCACGAATGACTGAATTTCTCCCGGCAAGAGTGCTTACCATTGCATTATCACTAGTCTTGAATGATACCCATTCGAAGCCATTCTCTCCAGCTTGTATAGCTATGGCAAAGTTCTGTGGAAGGATCAAGAGTTGATCACGACGAAGCTGGCCATTGTAGACTGTTTGTCCAGAGTTATCAACAACTTGAACCCGAGCATCTCCACTAAGAACATAGATGATTTCGTGTGCATTGATGTTCCAGTGAGGGGTCAACATAGCATTCTGTGTAAATTATCGAGGCCACAATTCAACAATTAATTAATACAACTAATTAAGAAGAAGAAAAACAAACACATACGATAGAGTGATCAGTAATGAGAAAGAGAGAGGGAGAAGTTTATTGTAACCTGGTAGAGAGTTCCTCTCTCAGCACTGAGTTGGAGGGTCTGGAGAATTGGGAGGTTTTGACTATTGAGGATGGTGACGCGTCCTCCATATGGACTGTAGAAATCAGCATGCTTCGGTTTTTCAATGTTCTGTCTAAATCTCATGTTGCAAATCGCCTCCTCTACACCATTTGCACCCATTTGTTGTTTCTGTTCATATTCTTCGTCCTCTTCGCTAGAANCCCCTTACCCTCAGAAGGGACTTCGGCAACACTTGGGGGGTCAACCTCGTCTTCAGAGTTTGGATCTTCATCAGCTACAAGAGCCATCTCTGGAGTAATACGTGAGGTGGTGATGGCACGAGTATCAAGGTCGGGGTATGTGTGCCTTATCATCCACTGGCTCAGTTTGAAGCCCCTTCGGTATGAGCCCACCATCAGGTCATCGAAGCGCTCTAATGCTATGTAGTTGTCAACGACCTTCACCTTGGTGTCCTCAAAAGCCTGGAAGAAGATCTTAGACTTCTCCTTGATGTTGGCCTTGAGGTATTCCACCTCGTGCTCCAAGCCCCCTTTCTAGGTTGCGAGGTGTTTCACGACAAGCCTTAGGGCGTCGTTCTCCCTTCGGAGTCTCTCCAACTCACTCCTCTGAGCCGAAGTCTCGCCCTCAAGACGCTAGACCTGCTCCCGAGTTGATCCCAAAGCCTCTTCGGCAGTTTGTGCCCGCTTCAGATTCCTCTCTGATTGGATGATCAGGGCATGGATGGAGGAGTTTGCCCGCCAAGCAAGGAGTCAGTTCGGCAAGAAAGTAAAAAACAAAGGAAGAAACACAAAGGGAAAACTACGTCAACTTACCACCATAACATGAGCCGCAACACGTGCGCCGATGTGACTCGGAGGAAGTTCGGACCATGCTGCGACCTCGCTTGGATAGACGGCCTTCTGGCTCTTCCGGAGAGCACAGCTCGGAGTCAGCACACTTCCAACCCCCTCTTGGCTCCTCAAGCTAGAAAACACTGTYGGTGTTCGAGAAGCCTCTGTAGTTTCAGCTTCCAGAGCCTCTGCAACGCCGGGCTCCACTGCCATTTCTGGGATTGGCCTGGCCACTTCAGGTTCCCTGGGAGAATCCAGGTTGATGATCGGAGGATGGCTCGGGACTTCGGACTCCATGGCCCGAGGAGAATCCACACGAGCTCGCTTGGTGACCCGCTTCCTCCTCTTCATTCTGTCAAGTAGGTTGACACCGCAGGTCTTCTCTGCCTCCATGATACCTGCGAAAAGAGATCGGTGTCAGTAAAACAAAAAAAAATAATAATAATAAAACTGAGTAAAGAAGCCTACCCGGACTCAAACCAACCTGAATAAGCTTAGCCTCTGAGAGGTAATCTCCGCACTCGAGCCCGACCTAGGCCCAAGACTAAAAGGTCTCCACCATGTCTTTATCTAACATGACGTCAGGATCAGGGACAGCCGCCCTTCAATGAGTAGGAAAYGGCCACCCCGTAGCACTTCGGACCACGAAGTAGTCCTGCTTCAACGCCGGGACCTTATTGGGAAGTTGTGAAGAAGTTTAAATCCCGGGCAAGGAGACAATTAGTAGGCCCATCTGTGCTCGGGAAGGAGGCTCGCTTGATTCTTGAGCATAAGGAGGGCAGAGAAAATTTCTAAGTCTAAGGGAATAACATACTCGCAACAGAGGGATATGGTCCCGACGATGTTACGAATGGAGTTCGGGTGAAGCTGACCGACTGAGACACCGAAGTGGTTCAAGACTTCGATGATTAGGGGATGGAGAGGAAGGCGCAGCTCGGCAATGAACTGCTCCCGGAAGATCAYGATCTCATCCGGACTGTGCTCCCAAGGAAAGTTGCTCGAAGGTAAGCTATATGTGTACTCCCCGGGCATGTTGGATTGACGAACAAGGGACCGAAGTCTCTCAGACGTCATAGTGGAGGGTCCGAATGTGTCCGGCATCCGAACCCGACGAGAGGTGGATTCCAGGCTACCAGGGGTGACCCGGACTGAAGGCCCCACCTTGGGCTCATCTAGAAGGCTGTCAAAAGAG